TAAAGTGAAGGTCCTTTTACGTGATTCCGTAAACTTTTTAAGCGAAATAAAATATTTTTATCTCTCCGGAACTTGGGGTTTATCGGGAAAGCACTATTTTTTTAACAAACACTTAGTACTTCTTACACTTGCTTTAAGTTTTAAATATGCCCAGTGCTGTTCATTATTATTTCAAAGTTTTCCTCAATGCATTCACATTGGTATTCGAGTAATGATCAACCTTTTACGAAGTTATGAAAGTTGCACTGTGTTTTGCGAATACTGTATACTGATTGATTAATTTTTCACGGAAAAAAATTTTATTCTTTAGATGCAAATACTTAAGAGGCCTGTATTATAAATTGAGTACAGGAAATTGTCGGTAATGCATCCTTCTAAAGGTCGTATTGATTTTCGCCTGCAGATAAAAAATTAGTGTTAAAAACGCATGATTTATGCACATTGATTAATCGGCGTAATCAACACAGACGTTAAAGGCCAAAATACTACTGCGTAAGAAACGGACTGTGAATACGCTCACTGCTACTCAGTTGGACGAAATTGTCTGAGGTCATTTTTTGTCTATCTTAGGTTTATGCCAATCGGTGTCTGCTTCATGATTGCTGGACCGATCGCTGCCATTCGGGATCCCGTCGGCGCCTTCAGTCAGCTGGGACTGTTTGCAGGCACAGTGACTCTTGGACTCCTTATGCACATCTCACTCATGTTTCTGATTTACACAATTTTTACACGAGCCAATCCCTTCCGTCTCCTGCCCTACTGCTTTCGTACCTGGATCATTTCCGTTACAACTCTCAGTCCGTGAGTCTCCAACCAATTATGTATGCCAGAAATGCAAAGGTGACTCCAGACGTTTTGGTTTGCCTACGGTCTAGGACAATTGCACTTAGTTGTGTCATGACATGCAAGCAATTTGGAATCCGTATTACTGAAAATAATCGGATATGCCAGAACAGAGGCTTCAGTGTACTTTTTCGTTACAAGCCCGACTGCCCTAAAACTTGGTTTTGCTTTCTTTATTTAAATACCACCTAATGCTTCACTCCAATTAAAAGCCTCTCAATTAACCAGCCAAACGAAGCCCTGCCTTTGCATGCCACCTCAAACTGCTTATATGAATTCACCTGTACTTGCGGATGCAAGTACATTGGCCGTACGCAAAGGC